ATGAATGAATTTCTGTTTCCAAATCCTGCTTTCCCATCCCACTATGAGGACACCCAGAGGGGCCTGCTGTCTAATCCTGGACTAATCTGGTGACTGATCCTGCTTTGCCTTTTTGGTTTTTCTGGAAGGAGAGTTCGTAGTTTATTTGGGTAACTTGACACTGCCATGAGGTCAGACTGTGATAGTTCGAGCTCACTTATAGTTTGAGTCTTTTGCGTCACTTCAAGCAAGGAAACAGGCCATTGAACCAGTCCCTGCAGCCTTCTCACCAGCTCCCCCCCCCATTTCTCCTCTCTTTCCCACTGTCTTTCTGTCTCTGTTTCTTTCCACCCCACCCCCACCAGGATCATCCTGGCCAATCACCAGATGTCAAATATGTGGTTGAGAGAGGAAACTTTCATAAGCTGAGACAGGAAGAGCGCCCACACATGGTCCAGGGATCTCCTGTCCTGGAGATGCCAGTACAGAGACTACATTTGTCCCTGATCCAAGCAAGGAGATTCAGGGAAGACATCTTTGAGGACTTCCTACTCATCCCAACATCTCTGCCCAGAGAGGGCCCTAATTAGGTACAAGTTTCACTTGTAGGCTGCTGAAGCCTCTCTGGCTGCACTTAACATTTGGTTCCAGGGCCACCCGTTTATTCCCAGCAAGTAAAATAAAACATGGGATAGAGCAAACAGCATTTCCCATAGGATCAGAACTTATCTTTGGAGGCTTCTTCTGTTCATTCATTACTACTGTTATTTTTGACTTAACAATTTCCTTGGACACTTCTTAGATACTAACTGCCTAGACCTAGGCTCTCCATCTCTTAGACTCTAGATCCTGCTAGTTCCTCTCTGCTTTAGCTAATTTTCAGCACTCAGTCTTTTATGGCCTAACTATTGTCTGATGAGACTGATTCCCAGTCCTGGTTCTCCCTGTCTGGCTAGTTTCACAGGCATTTACATCCCAGACTAAAAGCAATCATTCCCATAGGGTTTTAAGAGTTACAAAGTGCATTCCTTACAACAACCCTGTGAGATCGGTAAAACACGTCTTATTATGTGAACCTAACAGATGAGGAGTCTGAGCCCAACAGAAGTTAAGTGATTCACCTAAGGTCACACAGCTAGTAATTCTGGGAGCTGGAATTTGAACCAACTGTCCTGATCCCAAAGCTAGTGTTCTTTCCTCTACAGAAGGCTGCCCCTGGATCCCAGGATCCTTTCCCTATGCCCTGACATGAAGCACTGTGCCCTTGACTTGGCCAGCATGGATTTTTTCCTGAATGGTCAAACCTGCAGATTAAAGTGAATGTTCTATAAGCATAATTTCCACCTGCTACCTGCTTGGTAGCTTGATCATCCTGGTTATTAGACCTGCCACAGGTACACCATTGCCTAAATGGTTGGTGAGATGCTAGAAGTTCTCTCACCTTCCCCCCCATCCCCTCCCCCATTTTTCCTGACTTCTCTTGTCATTAATGCTTTTCCCCTCACAAGCAAAAAATATTTGTATTTACGTCGTCTGCATTTTGTATTTGCTCATCCACGTATATGCTGTAACCTCCCTAGTAGAACATAAGCTCCCTGAGGGCAGGAATTATTTAATTTTTTATCTTTATGTCCAGCTCAGTACCTTATATATGGTAGGGACTTAACAAATACTTGGTGAAGAAAGAAATGAATGAATGAACACACTCAAGTGGGTTGTATTCTCTACCTCTGCATAGGAACTATATTCCTAATTGCCTCTTCCCTCCCCTCAAACACTCTTAGACAGTGGATTCCCATCTGGAACTTTGGCCTGGGTCATTGGTTTTTTTCACTCACGCTTTTGGAGTGTAATGATGCTAAGGACTGTTAAGGAGTCCCCTTAAATTGTCTTTTTGAGTTATCATATTTTCCAAAAACATTGGACCCAGAGCATGCAGAAGGCCTTGAATGTGTCAGGGATGAATCCCGCCCCCCCACGCTGACATAATTTGTGGTTTGAATCCCAAGCTGGATTCCCTGTGTGTCTCTGGGAGGCAAGATGGGCACCAGCCTGGAAAAATGCTTGTGCAGCTGGGGTCCTTTGCAGATAGCAGACCCTCCTATCCTCATAGTCTAGTGGTTCACAAGGGAAAAGAACGAGACTTTTGCCATTGCTTTGCTCCTTCCCTTCTGGAGGAATTTTGTCCTTTCCCCACCTTTACTGCACTTTCTCCCCTCCCATGCCATGCCCCTTCCTGGTATCTCCTCTTTCCTTTGTCCTGCTGTCATAAATATGCCAATTTCTGTATGAATTGTGAATTCTTTGGGTTCCATATGCATGTTCATTTCTCTTGTAATAAACCTGGTTTTCACTTAAGCCTTGTGATATTGTGATTGCCTATTTCACTATTTATACTTGGTCACACAGCTTGTGTCTGAGGCAGAATAGAATAATAATAGCATAATAAATAAATAGTATTTAAATAATGATTTATGGTTTGCAAAGTGCTCAACACACGTTATCACATCTCCACAGCATCCTTGTGAGGTGAGTATTATTATTAGCTCCACTTTACACATAGAGAAACTGAGGCAGAGAGTTTAAGTGACTTCCCCAGGGTCACATAGCTAATAAGTGTCCAAGGAAGGGTTTGAACTGAGGTCTTTCTGACCAATATTTGAGTCACTATGCTTCAAAAGTGCCTGTTATCTTCTCAGACAAGATGGTGCCACAAACACAGGAGATGTAGGTATCAGGGGAAGCACTCTGTGGTCAATTACACAAACACCAAGTGAAATGAGCCATCCAAGCCCTTCCTTCCACCGAAAGTTTCCATCTGGTGGTGTAGGATGCCTGAACAGCCTTATACCAGAAACTGGCAGTTTCATTGCCCTCTGTAGATAAAGTAACCGTTGGCTCACAGGATGTACCCAGGAAAGACAAAGGGGAATGAAGCATGAAACAATTAACACAATCTGAGCATGTTTCTCAGACACGGAAAGAAATTAATAAGGTCTGTACTTAGCACATTCATAGATGGATTTGCTTCAGAATAAACTGAGTAGAACTAATTTATACACATACAATTTAGGGGAATAATCCTATCAGATGACAACCTTATGTATCCGTTGAATGGAGTTAAGTAGTATTAGGAAAGAAGCAAAATACATATATTAAAACTAAAACTAAGGGTTATCAGACCTTTGGTGGGCCCCTGGTTTTCCAAGACCAGATGATACAATTAGATTTTATGTTAATGATAGAAAATCAGATTCTATAACCAAATCTAATGCATGTTCTATTCTCAGAATTGATGTGCTATTCCAAGTACCAGGAGCTGACAATCATTGAAGCTAATCGAGTGCCTTAATCGAGTTGTTGGCAAATAGCCTCAGATACAGAATACAAACCCCCAACAGCATTTTTGATAGCAGTTGGCATATATAAACTTAATGTATTACCCTTTGGACTAAGGCATTCACCTGCCTCTTTCTGATGGTTGGTTAATGGTCTATTAAGCAAGCCAGCGGCACTTGCTCCAGTCTCCATTAACGACAGTTATTTTTAGCCAGAGTATGAATGAGCATCTGGAATATCTCAGGCCAGTGCCAAGTGCAATGAGTGAAGCAGGTCTTACGGGGAGGCATGGTAAATGACAGCTCAGCTGCTCAAGAGGCCAGATATTTGGGACGCAAGGTGGGGAAATTAGCATTTGACCTCTCTGTGAGATAAAGTAAAATCCATTCGTGATTAGCAAGAACAAAAATAACAGCTGGCATTTATAAAGTGCTTTAAAGTTTACAGAGAACTCTGTAAAAGTCATCCCACGAGCCTTGCAACAACTCCAAGAGGTTACACTGCAGATCATGTTATCTCTATTTTACAAATGAGAACACTGAGTCTCAGAGAAGCTTACTGACTTGCCTATCGTCACATAGCTGAGCTGAATCAGTCAGTCAACATGAACTTATTAAGCACCAATGTATCAGGGATCAGAGGTAGCATTTGAAGGGAGGTTTTCTTGACTCTAAGTCCGGCACTCTATCCAATGCTATGCCTCGTTTGCCTTTGCAAATTCCTGTATCTTTTTTTTTAAAGCTATTGGCTAGATTATAAGAATCTGAGCAGTGGCTAGATTTTAAGAATCTAAGCCGCGAATTCCTATATCTTAGAAACAAGCTGAACCACTTTGGGGAGGCGTGAGACTACAGATCATTTGTCCATCAGTCTGAACCCTTCCTGATCTGCTGCCTGACAAGAGAGAAGGATAAATTTATGCAATTATCAGGACCTCTGAGTTTTTAAAATATTTGGAAAAGTTGAAATAGGTTGTGATCTCTCTATCTGTTCTGGAAGTCCCAAACTTTCTCAGAATTCTTCCTTGTTGCCATTAATATTGGGTTGCTTATGGTTGGGGGTGGGAAAGGGAGTAAACATTTATATAATGCCTACTATGTGCCAGGCACTGAGTTAAGTGCTTTACAAGTATTTTCTCAGATGATTGACAACCTTGAATTGTAGGTGCTATTATCAACCCTGTTTTACAGTTGAGGAAACTGAGACAAACAGAGGAGTAAGGAAAATCTGAGTTCAAATGTGGCCTCAGAAACATCCTAGCTGTGTGACTCACCCAGGTGAGTCACTTAACCTCTGTTTGCCTCAGTTTCCTCAACTATAACATGGGATAATAACAGCATCTATCTTGATGGGTTGTTATAAGACTCAAATGAGATAATATTTGTAATACATCACAGAGTTTTTATGAGTCTTAAATGAAATAACATTTGTTGAAGGTAAGTTCCTTGAGGGCAGGGACTAATTCATTTTTACCTTTGTAGCCTTATCACTTAGCTCATTTCCCTGCCCATTGTAGGTGTTTAATAAATGCTTACTAAATTGAACTCCACGGAATGTATAAAATGTTTGGCAGACTTTAAAGTGATATAAACATCAGTTATTATTATCATCATCATCATTATTATTATTATTATTATTATAAAAACTTGTACTTTTTTGATGAATATTCTATATATTCCTAGATGAATGTGTACTAGTGGATGGGTTTTTACAAGAGCAAAATGAGGAAGAATCTCATGGGCCTATCAGCATCCTAAGTAGATGCTGACCTTTTATCCAGGTAAGAGCTTCACCCTAAAGGAGTAGAAGAAAAGGGCAGAGAAATCACTTTATCTCTCAGTTTGGAAATCTAGCTATGTTTGGTTGAAATGTACTTGTTAAATGTACCCTGGTACTTTTTCTATATGTTGGCTAGTTTTGCTGAATTTCTTTCTTTCTTCTTTTTTCTTCTTTGTTATAGGGACTGATATAAGCTCTCAGGAAGAGAATGGGGAGGAATACATTTGGAAATGTAGGTGCCATAAAAACAGAAGGTATCTAAATGTAGTTTGAAAATACAGCCCCAGTGTGACTTGAACTTGTAAAGTCTGGCTTCTTACACAGAAGCAGATGTTTTGATCAGAGAACTGTTTAATACCTGATCAGTAGCTGTTATCGTTTCTAATTAGTGAGTAGATCTCTAGTAGCTAGGTACCAGAAGGAAGAGATACTTGAAGCAATTTAGAAGCTCTATGAGAAGTGAAGTGCTGCAATGAAACCCCAATTCTCAGGACAGGAAAAAGCAAAGAAATGAATTATTTTGAATAGCTGGATTTTCTGCGTGGCCAAAGGTTTAACTCTTCAAGCAAATATTTTAAAATATATTTTTGACAAGTGGAAAGAGTGCGGAACTTAGAATCAGGGGGACTGAATTTAAATTGCCAGTCTGCGGCTTACTACTCATTCACATGACCTTGGGCAAAGCCCTTGTTCTCCCTGGGCAGGGCGGGGAGGTTCCTTTCCTTCAAGAGTCAAATGAGGGGTTGGACTACATGACCTGCAAAGCTCCTTCCAGCTCTTCCGGTGATCCCATGATTCCTTCCTGCTCAATGGCCCTAGACTTCTGTGCTTTTTTTGTGGCTGCTTTTTTCATTTTTTTAATGTCTCTCACCCCATTTCTAATTTGTTGCTTCTAATATGCCATTGGAGAGGCAGCTAGGTGGTATAGTGGTTAGAGCACTGGTCCTGGAATCAGGGAGACCTGAGTTCAAATCCAGCCTCAGACATTTACTAGTTGTGTGACTCTGAGCAAGTCACTTAACCCTGTTTGCCTCAATTTCCTCATCTGGAAAATGAGCTGAAGAAGGAAACGGCAAAAGCACTCCAGTATCTCTGCCAAGAAAACCCCATGGACAGTGTTAGCATGCTGTGGTCATATGGGGTCATGAAGAGTTGGACATTACTGAACAGCTAAACAACAACAAAAATATGCTATAGGAAGGCAGCTAAGTGGTACAACAAGTGGATAGAGCACTGTGGCCTGGAGTTAGGAAGATCTGAGTTCAAGTTTGACCTCAGACACTAACTGTGTGACTTTGGGCAAGTCACTAAACCTCTGCCTTAGTTTCCTCGACTGTAAAACGAAGATAATTAAGCTCCTATCTCCCCAGGTTGTTGTGAGGATCAAATGAGATAGTATTTGTGAAGGGCTTAGCATAGTACCTGGCACACGTTGTTTAGCTGTTTTCAGTTGTGACCGACTCTTTGTGACCTCATTTAAGGTTTTCTTGGCAAAGATACTGAAGTGGTTTGCCTTTTCCTTCTCCAGCTCATTTTACAAATGAAGAAATTGAGACAAACAGGGTTAAGTGACTTGCCCAGAGTCACACAACTAGTAAGTGTCTGAGGCTGGATTTGAACTCAGGTCTTTCTAACACCAGGCCTGGCACTCTATCCACTGTGCCACCTAGCCTGCCTCGTAGTAGGTACTTAATACATGCTTGTTCTCTTCTCCTGAAGAGGCTTTAGAAGAGGGCCAGGGAAGCTTTACTATATAAATTTTAGTCCATTGATTTTGTGAATCTGTTTTGCTTTCTCCAAAGCCTTCCTTGTTTCCTTCCTATGTCTTGGCTATAGTCTAGGTAGGTGAGGTTGCTCTATAATATATAAATGAGGCATTACTCTATTTGTCTTTTTCTGATCCAGCCTTATAAACATCAGGAAGATGTGGGGCCAGAGAGCAGCCACTATTGTCAGCACCTAGAAGGTACCAGCCTCGCTCTTACTTAAAGGCATCTTCTAGTATAGGCAATGGATAAAAGCAGGGAGAGTCCAGGCTTCTGGGCTGGTGTTTAGATTGGCCCACTATACTGCAGTGGTAGAGTTGTGTTTCAGCAAGGACGGAGGGCAAGAGAGTCAGATGAGACCTCTTTACAGCAAAATAAGGCCACCCTGGGGAGTCTGTTCACCTGGATCACTTTCTTTCTCTTGGTATTCTCCTGCGTCCTGTGTGTTACGGGGCAAAGCCTTATGCCATTGTGTTCTGCCTCAAGCTGGTGAGATATTTGACAGCCGGACACTTGATAACACTTGTTGGGCCCTTCCCCATTCTCCCAGACCTGCCTCTGCCAGGGGTGGTAGTCATGGCAGCTGGTATCACCAAGACAAGAGGCTATACTTCTTGGTACTATTTTTCTTTGCCGTAAGACACAGAAGAAGTACATAGTGTAGGGGAACATGGCAGAAACTCTTAGTGCTCAGAGCTAATCAGAGGAGAGGCTCAAGGTCTCTCTCTAGAGAATATCAAAGGCCCGAGAGAAGCCTACAGTGAGTAACTTTTCTAGTTCCAAGAGGTTTTAACTTCAAGGGAAGAGATTCAAAGCAAATGAGGACTACTCAGTGGTAGTAATAGCTCATATTTCTATAGTGCTTAACAGTCTGTGAAATACCTGGAGGAAAACCAAGGTTAGTGATTGAAAGAAAACATTTAAGATAACTTTTGTTGTTACTGAGTTGTTTCAATTCCTGTGTAACTCTTTATGGGCCCATTTTGGGGTTTTCTTGGCAGAGATACTGGAGTGGTTTGCCATTTCCCTCTCTAGCCCTTTTGACAGATGAGGAAACTGAGGCAAACAAGGGCAAGTGACTTGCCCAGAGTCACACAGCTAGGAAGTATCTGAGGCTGGATTTGAACTCAGAAAGATGAGTCTTACTGATGCTGAGCTCCAGTGCTCTATCACTGCACCACCTAGCTGTTCTTTAAGATAACTAGTTGTCCTTGGATCTTTCAATTTCTCTGTATTTTGATGTAGAGTGTATTCACCTAGAGAGGCAGCTTGGTCTCAAAACCAGGAAGACCTGGATTCAGGTATGGTCTCTGAGACACACTGAGTGTGTGACCCTGGGCAAGTCACTTAACCTCTTAGTGCTTTTGGCAATTTCTAAGAGTACAAATAGCAGTGACTTTTCTCATCTGAATTGGTAAAGAGTTTCCTCATCTGGAAGCTCTCCATTCCAATGAAATCCTAGCTCCAGTCCCTATTCCTCTTGTGTGTCCTATGTAATATCAGGCATCGTTTATGCACATTAGTTTTAGGATCATAGGTTTAGAGATGGGAGGAACATCAGAGTTCATTAGTTTCATCCTTCCTGCCCTTTTACAGAGAACTGAGGCCAGAAAGGTTGACTTGCTCAAGGTCACAGAGCAGACGGAGCCAGTATAGCAATCCAAACTCAGTAACCACTACGCTACACTGTCTTGTTGTTTCCACCATAATTGTTGGTGGAAAAGAAGTGATAGCAAATATCTTTCCTATACATGTTCAGAGTAAAAAGGCATTCCTGAAAGTAATATCCCCCATCTCACTTCAGAACCTACCTAGCTCAGTTTCCTAAGCCCTCCTGGTCCCAGCTGATTTCTTTTACCTCCTTAATTTTTAGTTGTTCCTATAGGCTCTCAGTGTGGCAGAAAGAGCACAGGACTAGGATCCCAGAGATCTGGGTTCTAGATCTGGGTTCTAGATCTGGGTTCTAGTTCCAGCTCTGTCACTAACATCTATGTGACCTCTCAGGACTTCGTTTTCTCATATATAGAATGAAGGAGCTGGACAAGGTCTCTAAGATTCTTTTCAGGTCTCATTCTGTGGTCTCTAATTATCTAGTCTAGGCTATTATTGGCTTCTATTCTAGGCTCCTTGATGGAGGGTGGGTTAGACTATCCAGTAGGCCCTCAGGTCAGGGCAGCCCAGGTCCCAGCGCCTTTGAGACAGGACTCTCAGATGATAAAGCTCTGGGTCTATCACCATTTTCCGCTGGGGCACTTCAAAAGTATGTGCTAGTGACCCCTTCAGGGCTTGGGTGTCTGAAAAGGAAAGCAGGGTAGGACTTGACATGGGGAGGGTGCTTTGGGGGCCAGTGGGCTGCCCGGAACAAAAACCGAAGTTACTTGGCTTTGCCACCAGCCAGGTCCCCGAGGGGCTATGAGGAAGCTTTCCAAAAGTGGGGCGAAATCCAAACACCTGAGGCTGGGTCTGCCCCTTCATAATATCCCCAAACTATATTCAACTATCCCTTTCAATCATGCCTAAGTGTTATCTGGCCCTGTTCCATGTCAGTCAGCTAATCAAGCAAGGGTCAGCAGTATGGGTGGTCTTGAGTACATGTTTGGTACATTGAATCCCTGACGGACCACAGATTCTGCCCTTCTGAGTTATGACGACAGCATCCCTGCTCTGCTGACTTCTGCACTGACCAGAAGTCTTAAGTGGAGAGCAAGGGTCAGAGCATGATGGGGAGGTTGGCAGGGCAGCAATAAGGGCAGAATTGAATGTCAGGCCTAGATCCATTTCAGTAATGTGTTTGCTTTCAATATATATTACAAATTATATTAATTTATATGCATGCATGTATACATATGCATATATATGTATATATACATATATATATAATATTATCTCATTTTATCTTCACAGCAACTTTGAGAGTTATCACTATGATTCCCATTTTACAGATGAGGAAATTGAGGTGGACAGAAGTTAAATGACTTGTCCATGGTTGCACAGCTGGTAAGTGTCGAAGGTGAAACTTGAACTCAAATCCTCCTGACTCCAGGTCCAGTGCTCTGTCTACTGTACCACCTAGCCGCTTATTAATTAATACTACGTATTTAATAGTGTGGGCATTTAAAACATCCTGAGAGGTTTGAGATGTAACATCTTATATAAGAAGGGGGAGATGGCACGGTACAGTGGAAAGAATGCTGGGTCTGAAGTCAGAAGACCTGGGTTCGAATTCCAATGCTGGGTTTAGTACCTGTTTGACCTTGGGCTTAACCTCTCTGGTCCTTCTGTCCTCTTCTGTAAAAGGACAGGGTTGAACTAGATGACCTCCTAGGTCTTGTCTAGCTTTCCATCAAGGATCCTAGGATACTCCTTGAAGCTTTCCTTGATTCTCTCAGCTGAAATTAGTATCTTCCTTATTGTAGCCTTTTCTTTGTCCTTATTGTACACACTTTGTATCTGTGGTCGAACAGTC